TTTAAACATTATGTTTGATTGTTTTTGTTTATTTTTATTTTTTCCTTTTTCCTTGATTTATCATATGGAGTATAGGTTTTGACCATGATGTGTATTTGAAATTCATATACCGGACAGTTTGCTGGACATCTCATACTTTGCATTAGACTTTGCTGTGCTGAATTGTTGTTGTTTGTCTTGCTTCTAAAAGACAATAAAGTATTGTTTAAAATCAGCACATTAACACAAACGCCTTATGTCATCTGTCGAGCAAAGGGGCGGAGGGGTGATGATTGGGGTTTATGTTACACCCACAGGTTCTGAACCAAACTGAATCATCAACAGAAATAAGGACCCATTCCAGCTTCTGCAGCAGAATGACTGAGGAGCAAAAGGTGTGGGTCCAAAGACCCAGAGGTCTGTGGCCTCATGTGCAGCAGCAGGGAGAATTTTCAAATGCACGCTTTTCCTCTCTACATCCCAGTTTGCATAAAATCAAACACAGCTGGAGAAACTGCTTGGAACATGCCTAGATATTAATATGTAAAGTACTATAAATAGCCGAAGGGCCTCCACTGCTGTGGCGTCAATGATAGACAATCACAGAAAGACACTGGATGTGTCAACACACCTCAGAAAGATTTATTAGGAACAAAGAAACCACATAATCAAGCAAAGTAGAATAAAATTAATATTTTTAACTATTCGACCCAAAGAAAAAGAAAAGATAGAGAGTCTCTATGTGTCTCTATGCGACTATTGTTTAGAATGGTTGAAATTACCATATTAAAAAAGCTATGAAGGAATCCCAATTAGACAAATACAAGCAAAGCTTAGCAATTGACATACTTTCCATTTCATAAAAGCAGAGGCAACATTTATAGATCTGCTCCCATAACAATATTAGTGCATTTATAGCTCTGAGTCTATTTAGGAAATGGTTCTTAAAATTAAATAGGGATTTGATGTGTTTCTATTTTAACACATTTGAGGAAATTTTATATATATCCAGTAGTCATAAAGAGTAGTATACGGCTGTTATGGGGGCGGCTCAGAGTGTCGGTTAAATGCACAAGTTCTCAACTGGAGCGTTCTAAAATAAACCCTGTTACACAGAGGGGTAGTTAGATTTTGTTTGTTTTTTGTGTGATTAGTGCCCCTTTTTGCGCAGCTAATAAGCCATCCGTCCATCCATCCATCCAGCATCATGTATCAGAAGGTAGCAGGAACTCTGAACAGCCCGACCCTGCATTCTTCCACTGAATGTATGTTTACAAAACTTAGACAGGAATATTTACAGTTTCCATCAACTGTTCCATCAGTTTTTCGGTTTGTTACTGTGCTGTATGAAGAAAAGCTCAAACTCATCTAAAAACATCAGATCCATTCTCCTTTAGTCTGAATAAACTGAAAAGGTTCATGTTTATTTTGATTGGTTAGGTTTTAGTACTTTGTGATTGTGGATTTAAAGAGTTTGCAGACTGCTTCAATTTCTCACTCTAGCTGCTCACTGCTGCACACATTTGCACAAAATCAATTTTAATACATCCTGACTTTTGAGTTAAACATTGCTCTGCATGTTTTTTTTGGACACAGAAGCTTTTTACATGAGCCACCAGATCTCTACTTTATTAAAATGCTGTTGTGGAACCAAGATAGAAATGCAGAAATGAAGGCTACAAACCAGCTGCAAAATTAAACACATTTTCTCTTAAAAAGAGAAAGTAAAAATCCCTCCACAGCAATGTGAGTGACTGATATAATAAGTCCAAAAACACAGTTATGGTGCCTCAGCAGCATAAGTTACATTTCAATGTTCTCAGTAAATATTTTTTGTGCCTTTTGAGGGAAACTAGAATTGATGAAGGGTGTAATTAGGGTTGCTTTATCGTGAACATTTTTATTCTTATCCCTTTTACCCAAAGATATAATCTACAATATACTTTAACTCTGAGGAAAGCAGCTTTCTGAGCCTCTGAGGAGCTCTCTCATAAAGCTGAATGTGCTGTTGTGGTTCAGGGTGACCACGTCTAACAGCTCCCTGTTTGTCCATCAGAATATACGCCTCTGCCCTTATCCTGCAAAAGGGAGAACAGCTGTGACTCATCGTAAGCACTGTGGCCACATGCTGCAAACCGGTTCAATATGGACAGATCTGGAGTCATGCTGCTATAAAAATATGGTTTAAGATTGGATCCTGGCTAAAATTTAAGGACACAAACATTTGTAAAAAATCTAGCTTGCCAAGCATTTTAGTCATCTTAGCTTGACTTATAAATAAGGAGCATGAAGTTACAGCTAACAATGCATGGGCTACTAGTTGATCAAGTCTAGAATAAAACATCAAGTCATTAGTGATAATTTCTCTAACATACAGGTGCTGGTCATAAAATTAGAATATCATGAAAAAGTAGATTGATTTCAGTAATTCCATTTAAAAAGTGAAACTTGTATATTATATTCATACATTACATACAAACTCATATATTTCAGATGTTTATTTTGTTTAATTTTGATGATTACAAATGACAACAAATGAAAATCTCAAATTCATCATATCAGAAAATTAGAATATTACTGAAGACCAATAAAAACAAAGGATTTATAGAAATGTTGGCCAACTGAAAAGTATGAACATGAAAAGTATGAGCATGTACAGCACTCAGTATTTAGTTGGGCCTCCTTTGGCCTGTATTACTGCAGCAATGCGGCGTGGCATGGAGTCGATCAGTCTGTGGCACTGCTCAGGTGTTATGATAGCCCAGGTTGCTCTAATAGTGGCTTTTAGCTCTTCTGAATTGTTGGGTCTGGTGTATTGCATCTTCTTCTTCACAATACCCCATAGATTTTCTATGGGGTTAAGGTCAGGAGAGTTTGCTGGCCAATTAAGAACAGGGATACCATGGTCCTTCAACCAGGTACTGGTAGCTTTGGCACTGTGTGCAGGTGCCAAGTCCTGTTGGAAAATGAAATCTGCATCTCCAAAAAGTTGGTCAGCTGCAGGAAGCATGAAGTGCTCTAAAACTTCCTGGTATGTGGCTGCATTGACCCTGGACCTCAGAAAACACAATGGACCAACACCAGCAGATGACATGGCACCCCAAACCATCACTGACTGTGGAAACTTTACACTGGACTTCAAGCAACGTGGATGAAGTGCCTCTCTTCTTTTCCTCCAGACTCTGGGACCTTGATTTCCAAAGGAAATGCAAAATTTACTTTCATCAGAGAACATGACTTTGGACCACTCACCAGCAGTCCAGTCCTGTTTCTCTTTAGCCCAGGCAAGGACGCTTCCGACGCTGTCTGTGGTTCAAGAGTGGCTTGACACAAGGAATGCGACAGCAGAAACCCATGTCTTTCATACGTCTGTGTGTGGTGGTTCTTGAAGCACTCACTCCAGCTGCAGTCCACTCTTTGTGAATCTCCCCCACATTTTTGAATGGGTTTTGTTTCACAATCCTCTCCAGGGTGCGGTTATCTCTCTTGCTTGTACACTTTTTTCGACCACATCTTTTCCTTCCCTTCGCCTCTCTATTAATGTGCTTGGACACTGAGCTCTGTGAACAGCCAGCCTCTTTAGCGATGACCTTTTGTGTCTTGCCCTCCTTGTGCAAGGTGTCGATGGTCGTCTTTTGGACAACTGTCAAGTCAGCAGTCTTCCCCATGATTGTGTAGCCTATAGAACTAGACTGAAAGACCATTTAAAGGCTTTTGCAGGTGGTTTGAGTTAATTAGCTGATTAGAGTGTGGCACCAGGGGCCATCAATTTTGAACCTTTTCACAATATTCTAATTTTCTGATATGATGAATTTGAGATTTTCATTTGTTGTCATTTGTAATCATCAAAATTAAACAAAATAAACATCTGAAATATATGAGTTTGTATGTAATGTATGAATATAATATACAAGTTTCACTTTTTAAATGGAATTACTGAAATCAATCTACTTTTTCATGATATTCTAATTTTATGACCAGCACCTGTACAGTCATTCAGAGTAGATCAGAACTAAGAGTTGAAGCAACAGTTAAAATGGTTAAATAAAAGCTGTTTTCGTTCATCCATCCATTTTAATTCATTAAAACGTAACAAAATAAAGATGCTGCTCCCTTCTTCAATCTGTCACTAATTAAGATGAAAGCAGAGGTGAACATTATTTGGTTGTTTGGAGGTTAAAATATAACCTTAATCTTAGACAAAAGAAGATCCAAAGCATAAAGTCCCTATTCTATTTTTATGTATTCTAAAGTTCTTTAGTATTTCAAGCAATTACCTGACTTTCCCTTATTTAGTAACTAGAGACACCATTAGGCCATTTTTCTTTTCCCTTATTGGTAAACTTGTGACTTTGTGACACCGATTTTGGGCAAAAGAAATCCCTCTGCAAGAGGAATTTAAACCGTCAATTTAAGCTGTCAATGCTTAAAACTCAAAATAACAAAGCAGAGTAACTTTGCTTAAGCTTTCACTGTTCCTCCTAGCTTGTCCTCTCTCCCGCTCTTACAGTACAGACATATTTTGTCATGTTCCCTGGGAAAAGTTCTATTTCTTACATTTATCTTTGAAAATTGCCACTGATACTGTTTATAGCAACACTGAGCTTCCCTTCCTCATTGCATTTGAACTAAAAAGGGTTGTCAGCCTTGATATGGTGCGTTCACTGACTGGAAAAGGTGTCGGATTAATACATTTCTGGCCAGCTAGCCACCAGTCAGAGCACATGGATCAGGTATTCTGATGTGGATATATTTTCTGCTCACTGACCAATTGGATTATTTCTTGGTTGAATTAATTAGAATGCATCCATTCTGGAAATCAGTTTAAAAACTGTTGCATCATTATCATATTACTCATTTGTCCCAGTTGTGACTCAGATTAGTTATTGTCTCCATATGGAGCTGAGTGATTCAGCCTCGCTTGTTTGTTTAAAATCCACTATTTTTCTGAACTGTACTTTTCTAGTAAGCAATGCTTGAATGTGGGAGTCCATTCATGTGTGCTTCTTCATGTGTTGTAGCTGGAGATGTCGAAGCCTTGTGATGGATGCAGTGAGGACAGCGACAATCAGACCGCTGTAAGTGGAAAACTTTAAGAACTCTTCTTACCCCGTAGGATTTTAACATGATTTTATGTTTGCCATCTCTCTACTTATCTCCTGTTTCTTTAACTTCCTCCGCTGACATAACAGATAATTTGAGCCTAAAGTGGTTTAACTTGGTGTAACTACACTTGTCATTGAATTAATCACCCAGAGACATCCAAGATTGGAAATAAAGGAGCCGTAAACACTAAAATACCTCGCACATGTGTCTGCGCTCCCACACACCGGTGTCTCCTAACAGTGTGTGATGAATAGATTAAAAACTAAACAGGGCATTACACACAGTAATATGTTGGACAATAAACAGATATTAACTCCTCTGCCTTTTCTGCGCCATCTGTCAGAGATCTTGAGCAAACTGTTTAATCATTTACCTTTCAATTCTCTTCGCTGTGCCGCTGTTTGCTTTCTTAAAGCTTATCTTTAAGTAGTTTGACATCTTTCACTCAGCTAGAAATATACAGTAGCTGATGTCTGATGATCCTCCTAAACTCCATTTGTATCTTCATTTTCTTTTAGGATTAATGTGTTGATCTGGTGTAATTTTCTGGCGTATTCTTCTCATATATACAGTCAGAGGTTTACATACTGTACATTCATTAGTGGCATGAAAACATTATTATGCAAAACAGACCGTTACAGAAGATTCTTCCTGCCCACAGCTATTAACATCTGTTATTTTAAAACATTAAAGGTATAGTGGAGGATGTTTTTTTTTCCATGTGGAGCATCTAAATAAGTGTTCCTTCTAATTGTCAATCATTCTAATGATGCTTACAAAAGGCCGTCCTATGTGCACGCCCCCATTTTCACTTACCGGTGGGGAGTCTGACGTAGTGGAAAAATTAAAAATCTTTTGGAAAGTAAGCTTCAATGAACGATGAAAAGACCAACTTTTAAACAGAGCGTGCACGAGGAGAAATGTACTCGTGCACGCTCTCCCACGCGTTTAATAGCTGTTCCCTCTCACGAGCGGGGACAGGGTTGTGCATGTGGAGAGGGCGTGTCTTTTCAAAAATTTGCGGAAATCCTATACTTTTAATAAAGCCTTTGAGCAATGTCATATTTTCACTCTGTCATTTTTGCGTGTGTAATAAGTGAAACTTGATTCATCCAAGATAATTTAGGATGAATGTTCGTAAGCAAGTTGTTTGAAAGTCACATTTGTTCTCACCCTGAGGAATATCCTACCATAATTCTTAATCTTTCTTTATCCCTTTGGCTACATTAGTAGCCATTAGTAATAAAAGGACTTATTGATTGGTTCGATGACTCTGCTTTTAAGTTGGATCCATAAATGTTCTATATATTTTGGATCAGGGTCAGTACAGGTGTTTTTTCCACTCTAAAGCCAGTTTTAATGCTGGTTTGGGGTTTTTGTTTAAAGCACTAAATATAAACTGTGCAGCTTTTCATTTGATGTTACCTTCAGAATGATGCTACCTCGACTTCACTTCACAGTCATCAGTACCATCAGCTCATTTGTGCAGCTTTATGAAAAAAGAAAATATTTTTTTTCTTCCTAATTATAAAAACAAACCAAAGTAGAATTTGTAAAAAAAATATTAATTGCGACTTTTTTGAGGCTCAGCTGTACTCCCACTGTCCCCGACATGGGATCCTCCTACTGTGGGCAGCTAATATTTTCCGCTTTAGATCAGTTAATAATTGTATTAATTTGGGGTTTTATATTTGCATTTTGTTGCACCTTTATAGTATATAGTACATAATGTAAAGAATGACGCAACTAAAATAGAGGTAAACACGGTGTAGTCATACTGGTCTGAACATGATGTCAGACAAGCAATATAATGGAGAAAATGCATCTGATTCTCTTTAAAAAAGCAATTAATGTTTTTTTATAACATGTAATTCAGCATTATTTGATAGTTTGAGGAAAAGCACCTCAAACATTAGCAAATGGATGGTATGGATGGTGCTTCCTGTATAGATGGGTTACTGACAGGCATACGGTTATATTTAAGTCCATCTTTAATGCGACATTTTAAGTTTGTGACAGGGTTGAAACCAGGGGGTGATGAAAAGTTTTTGATGGTATAAGAGAATATATAGTTATAGTTGGGTGGTATAAAAGAACAAAGATCCAAAACTTCTAGTTTGGGGCTGATGTTTTTAAAAATTGAGCTCTAATTTTTCACCACTCAACTAGGAGGAGGAGAGCAGTTCCTTCAGGGCAACAAATTCAAATTTCCTGTTCGTCAAATAAGCACAGTAACACATGGAGCTGTCAGAATGACCATTCAGGCGTCTTTTATTTAGATGGCACTGGAGTTTCTGCTGGAACAGGTGTTTGTATTATTAATCCAAAATCATGTCAGTTTTGAGCCTAAATCTTCAAGTTTCTGCTAAAATGATGAAAGTAAAGACGAGTCTCAGTTTTCAGCATCAGTGTGAGTTCAGTTAAGCAAATAATCATCTAAATATTTGTTTCTTCTGAGGAAAATCTATTATTTTGAATTAGCCAAACCAAAGTCCAGAACTTTGGCACAATGTTTGTAAGTTCAAAACACATTTTAAATTTTTTTAACTCATAGATTTGGAGAATTTTTACAAGGCTGTTAAATAGAGATGATGGATGCTGCCAGATTTCTAACAATCAAGATTGAATATAAGTGAATCACAGTGCTCCAAATATGAATTAGTTACAAGGTGTTCACATTTATGCAACTAGATTATTGCAGCAAGTTTAGATTTTTATTTATTTTATTTTTGTGGTTAACTTTATGTGGAAAAAAACGTTTTGGAATAATGTATGATGGTCTTATTTTTAAAGAACATAAAGCACTCGAGAGATTTCCTGTATGTGTGGGATTGACCACTTTGATATGTGTATCAGAAACGCAATAAATTCAAGCTTGTCCACCTACTTAAAAAAAAAGATTGCTAAATAAATATTGAATACATTCATAGTCTATCTGACAAACATAATAAGTAAATGTAGACTTGAATGTAGTTCTTTATGATTCTTTAGCCCTAATGTCAATGCCAGTGGCTAATGGCTGATGTATATGTTTGCAGGATGCCACACTTTCCTGCAGCCAGGAGAAGAGAGGCCCCACAGAGAAGAACTCAACAAGCCCCATTCACTCAGAGAGGGAAGCCTTGCTTGTTGGTAAGCTGCAGTCCTTTACACTGTTGGCTCTTTTTCACACTGACCTTATTTTCAATAGTCAGTTTATTAGCTCCTTCAGTCTGCAAAAGAAATACTGTAATGCAGGTGTGTTTTTATTTTGATCAAATGACTAACATTCAAATATATCATGCATTGTATGGTGTTTATATTTTCCTCTTTTTAAAATCCAGGGCATTCTAGAGATGGTTTACCTTAAATCTGCTCCATTCTTTCATTGCTCTGGAGCTAAAGTGCAATGGAGCAGATCAAAGCGTCCTGTGTTAAAATTGGTCAGCCTGATGGGATCAAAACACAGGGAGTGACAAAAATGACAGTCATCATCAGCGGACTGATGCCCTACACATCACCAATCATGCTTTCAGGTCTCTTATCTCCATGAAATTTGATTGATTGCAAAGTTTGACAGATTTTGACGTTTTCAAAGCAATCTAAGACGGAACATTTTGTTCAGAAATGACTAAAATTATCTAATATAGGCAAGTTGTGCTTATCTAAAATGATCTTTTTCTCCATGCTGAAGGTTTTTTCAGACTGCAGTGTATAGCGAGCTCTCCTCTATCTTACTAATCAATTAAACCCTTGCTGTTTGGCTTTAGAGCAGCGCGGCAGCAACAAAATGGATACATGTTTTACCTTTATGTTGCATTTCAAGCACAGTTTAAATATCTACCTGAACAAGCTACCAATTTCACACTGAATTTGCAAAACTGGCGATGAACCCTAAAAAAAACTTGCAGCTGTAATTACAACAAAGGCTGGTTTTGCAAAGCCTTGACTCTGGAGCTGTGTACATCTGCACTGCTGGATATGTTTTCATTTTGAAAAGTTGAAATGTTATGCATCATTTTCCTTTAGTTTAGTGCTGGTCTAGCTCATAATTTCCAAATAAAGAGGTGTGACAATCCTTTGGCAGAGGACTTTATCCTGTGATGTTTCTAAACCCTTGTAGCTCAGTTTAACTCTGACATACAGAACCGACTGTGACACATTAGACAGATGCTTGCCTTCCTAATTATGGTCATTAAATTAATTGAGTCGTACTCAAATCAAGGACAAGTAAAACGAACAGCCACTGTCTACAATGATACACCACTAAATAAGATATTTACATGTATTATTTTTCCTAAGCAATTTGTTATGCCATATAGAGCTATGAGGGGATAATAAAAGGTTAAAAAAAAGAGCAGAGGGAGGAAAAATATCTATGTCTGTCAGAAAACATGCATTATCATTATTTTATATTCCAGAACACAAGTGTTGAAGTTTAGTATTTGGAGTAATTCTAGTCTTTGCTGCAGGCTATGTTGTATTTACACAGTTTATGTTTAGTTGACAGAATGCCTGCTGTCAGAGACTAAGCTGCAGATGCTGCTTTATGGTTGAGTAGAGTTACCAGACTGAAGACGCTGCACCACAAAAAAAGAACGAACACATGCCGTTTCTGTTAATTTCTTGAAGATAGCAACAATCATTCATATTTTAATCTATCAATTTAAACAAAAGATAAGCCCACTGTGCAGCTGAGGCATGCTGGTAATCTACAGAAAGCATGCATTCAAACTTAGGGTCTGTTGAGAGTTACAGAGCATCTTTATTGATGTTTCTCTGACATGCATGCAGATAGATTGAGGTTCTATCAGAGTGCCCCGTTACGCTCCAGTTCATCTGAACATCTCCAGTGCGTTGTTTGTGTTCGAGTACTGATTAACGTCCTGCAGGTCACTAAAATGAAGTCTTGGTGAAGCATTTTCCCTTTCTAAAAGCTCCAAATAAGAGTTTTGTTTTTGCTCAGGCAGAGGCTGTGTGGATCTAAGGAGTGTTTCAGCTCCATCAGTGGTTAGTGAGCGTAGACGGAGGACTTGCTCTCCTCTGGTCTTCCTCTGCGAGCTGATGGCAGATGGTTTGTTTGTGCTTGGGGAGCGTGCGGCTTTGATCAGAGACAACAGCATCAAAGGCATCATTAAACTCTCTTTCTAATCTGGAGCGACAACATACAAGAGGCTTTTAACAGTAATGGGACTCTGGGAAGAAGTTGCTTAAAGCCGGTCCTCCTCCAGCGCAGAGTTGGAAAGCTGCTGCTGTGAACGTCCTCTGGTGATTTGTCAATGTTTAATGGTTGAACGAAGCTGGAAGTTAACATCTTTGCATGACTAATAATTATTTTTCTTACCTCAGGGATCATCTCAACCTTCCTGCACGTCCACCCGTTTGGAGCCAGCATCGAGTACATCTGTTCCTACCTCCAGCGTTTGGACACCAAGGTAATGTTCTCGCATGAATCAAAGTTGCACAGAGCCGTGCTGCCCTTTAGTATAAATCTAGATTACATGCATTCATATAGACAGTGTGGCGGTCCGCCCTGCTGCGCTGACATATGGGCTTATATATTCACTCAAACTTAATGCGAGCAGACCTCCCTAATGCTTTTTGCAGGCTGTTCCATAGAGGTGGATGGATTCTCCAGATGTTCGCTGAAACAAAACCACTTTAAAGGACAGTTTTACATCCTCACAGATACTCGCTCGCCCTCCTGCTGGGAGACAAATGAGAAGATTGACAGCTCTCATTTTTTAGCTTCTTCAGTACAGTTGCGAGAAAAAATAGGACATCTCTCTGGAAATGTTGTTTTTTATTAAGAAATATTAAACTGTTATGTGTGGTTTTATGTTTTTGGAAAAGAAAGGTGTTTACTGACATTTAAATAACTAAAAATTAACCTTGTCACTTCAAGTAAATATATAACCTGTTTATGTAGTATGTTTCCATATCGCGTTTTATAGAATTGCCTGTTGCACATGGTGAATATTCCTATAATCCTGGATCTATTTACAGCACTGTGAAAGTACAAATGTTTGCATTTCTCTTTGCCTCTTAAAGGTCCTTCACAGTTTCTCTTTCAACCAGTAGCTAAACTTTTATTTTCTTACTTGGTGCCACTTGTGCTTTTTTTTTTTTTTCCGGATAAATTGGTTTGCAGAAAGCGAGTGAAGTCATGAAAGATTTTTTTAAGTTTCTCTCTAACAGTTAAGTCATTTGAGAATCCAACAGCTGCCTGTTTTATTTAATGGCGCAGAGTGAAGCCAAAGTTACCTTGCTCTTAAAAAGCTCTCCTAAAACACGTTCCCACTTTTTGATCTTATAAACATCACAGATAACACAGTTTGACAGTCGGGAAATAGGTCTTCATATCTATGCTGCTGGAATATTATTAGCTGAGAACTTGTCAGTTCAGTTGATGATCAAGTGAAGCATCTCTCAGCTTCTTTCAGGTCTTTGCAATATTTCTGTCCTTTTTCTAACAGTCATGCTTCTCAGGTTCTGTTTGGGTCTGAAACCTTCATTTTGTCCTTCTTGAGCTAACCTTTCACTGATTTTATGTTATTTTTTGGTTTGTGTTACACATTGCATTTTTATGATGAAGAAAAGGAAAGAGGTAGAAGTCAGAGAAAAGCAGGTGCAACTCAATAAATTAGAATAATCAAAAGGTTTAATGTTTATGCGAAAGTAAAACATATGTATTTTCTACATTTTTCGATACAGTGATACATTTCCAACATGTGTACTTGTTCAATTCGATGTTTTTGTCCCACAGTTTTTAAGAAAGTTTGAAAATGAAGTTTATTTTCATTAGAATCATTAAACCTTTATTGCACGTTCAATTTATTATTCTGAATTTTTGTTTTCTTTTTTTGGTTTTAGTTTAAATTCAACAGCAGATATTCAGTTGAATAGATTTAATCTCCAAACATCTAGACCGTCTATGATCACTTAAGCCAAAGCAAGCCCACAGCTTTAAGCCAATCAGATACACTCATTTGATCACCTGACCCACAAGTGCTTTATGCTAAATGTGGCTGGGTCCGAATGTCCGCCCTAACTACTATATAGGGACATATATAGTGGTTAGGCCATTTTAGATGTGTGTCCGAATGTCTAGTGGATGAAAAAGTATTGGACTCGAGATTTTCCACAGTCCACCGTGAAAAGTAGTGATCATCCATGGTCACTAGATGAGCAGATATATCTCGGAATGCTGTGTGAGGAGAGCTCTCCTCCCAGCATCATGGGATTTGTTGTCACAGTTGCCCCACTGTCGCATATGGCTGCAACAAAGTTGGTGCAGGCATTTGCAGGGAAGCAGAGTTATGTGACCAACAGGAAGCGAAAAGTAGTGATCATCTGTCCGAACGGTCAGTTAACTGAGTTCACTATAAAGTGCACCATATAGCTATATGGTCCTCATTCTATATAGTGATTGAGGGATTTAGGGGTAAGAGCGGACGTTTAGACACAGCCTGTTTCTTAACAGTTAAACTGGTAGAGATCGCGGAAAGATTTCACCCATCGTACTTTTGAACTGATACGCTTCAGTCGCCATGGAAATCCAGTGTTTTAATTTTTGCTGAAGTCTGTTTCATATCTTTTAGGAACCCAGCCTTGGTCGAGGGGATTATTATAGCTGAAATAATTACTGACAGGTTTAAATAAACATTAGAAACTAAAGTTCATAATTGCAGGCAACAAAAATGTATTGCTTGAAAAAAAAAATTACTTCAATGATACTATATTTCTTTCATAGGAAATTGCCTTAGACCAAAGGTTATAATATGGTGTTTAATATCATCGTGAAGAATTCATTTAACAATTATCACGTCACCATTTTTTTATATTATATTATCATTTTTATCTATTCTGAGAAATAGCAGCAGGATATTCCTCACTTTTTCTTCCAAACTGCTTACTGTTATGAGCCAGGTTTAAAAAATATTAGAATCAACTTTTTAGAAAAATCTTTTGAACCTTTTTAGTTGATTAATAATTTCATAAACTACAAAAATCAAACTTGATTACTTAAAGTATAATATTTTGCATTGTAGCTTATTTTTCCTTTTTAAAAACGGTAGTAAAATAAAACTTCTGTAATTAGTGGTTTTTTTTAGCCGATCTGCGAGCCACACATGGTCTAAAGCCCTACTTTGATTACCCGTGGTTTAAATGGAGCTGCTGATCAGGACATAAGTCAAAGGTACTTTTGTTTCTTCATTTTAGAGTAACTTGACCTTTACCTTTGCTCTTCGGCTGTAATCATATTTAACACCTCTGTTTCTCGCCATCTCTCCGTTGTTGTGGGAATCCTCCTGATACGGGAATATATTAAAACCAATCCATCAGTCTGTCAGTGGAAACCAAGCACCGCCTCAGTGCTCGGACGTTCCTCTTTGATGAAGTGCAGCCACATCGTCTCATCGTCTTTCTGATGAGGCAATTCGCTCCCATTATGACTCCTCTCTGGCACTTGGATTGAAGCCTCCAAATCACCCCCCCCTTTAGCGTCACCTCCAAAGAGTGGGACTGAAATTAGTTTTCATCTGCGTGATTCTCTTCTTCAAAACTATTATTTAGCTCATCATTACAATATTCAATGTGTCATCTGTAGAACTTTCCCCTGGCCATTAGAGAAGTTGCTGTTGTCTGTCTCTGCGTGTTTTCATCACCAGCTTGACTCATTCTTGCGTATGCAATAAATGTGACTGTCCTCTCATTTGTTTTTTTTATTTGTCTACTTTGGTGTGTTGGCTTATGCGCCCACGCTTTTCTGTCTGTGTGCGTCTGATTTTATTTATTTATTTATTTTTCTCTGTGCATCTGTTGTTCCCACGCTGACTCTCCGCCACACACACCTCGCAGCCCACAGAGTTTTGTCAATATCCCTGGCTAGACTCCCCAACTGCAAGCTCAGTCCTCTGCGCTTATCTCCTGGCTCCACACAAAACGCTTCACTGTAAAACGGCAATCCTGTTTGCATGGTGGACCTTAATGTGTCACTGTCTAAACACTGAATGTGGACGTCCCACAGCTTAATTCAAGACGACGCAGGTGGATCCGAGCTTCTTTAACAGTTCATTTTGATGTCATGAGCTGGGAGTTCGGTTGGCCGACTGATCCTCAGCCCACTCATGTCAGTGGATGGTTTATACCCACTGATGTGGTGTGGAGTCAGAGAAAAGAAAGCGTGAACGTAGGAGCGACTCAGAGGAGAGAATATCTTTACGGTTGTTTTAACCATTTACTCAACAGAAAAAGGTTTTTCTGTGATACATTAAGGTTTACTGAGGTAAATGTGTTAGAAGGAAAAAATGTGGGATCTAGGAGCTACAGTTGTGAGATAATACAGCCTAACTTAAATATCCAAACAGGGTGAATTAATTCCACTTTTGTGTTTTTCCTTTAGCATTCAAATGAAAACCAAAGAGTCCTCACTAAGGTCAACCTGGGATTGTCACAAAGCTCAAGTTTTCAGTATGGGGGAGTCACATTTTAGTTTTTCCACTTCAGAGGAGACTAGAGTGTCAACTTCTATACATTTACATCAGCCAGTTGAAGCTCAGGAGAAAGTAGTGATGCTGTGGGATATGGAGGCATCACAGCTTCCAGGTCAGAAGCATCCAGAGAACCTCTGGCCTACAGACTCAGACTCTGAGCTGCAGCTCGGCAGCTAATATGACCGCGAAGAAAACATCAGGCGGGAAAACACGGCTCTGGTACAGATAGTTTAACCAGTTATAAGTTCATGAAATATAAATTAGTACACAATGAATATGAGAGACTTACGTATGGCTGAACAAGCAAGTGACTCTTTAAATGAGTGAACAAAATAAAAAAATAACACTTTGTTAGGATAATTATCATTGATGATGTGTGAGTTTATTACAAAGGAAAAAGAACTGGAATGAGAAAGCTTCAAGGTGTAGACACAGGGATCCTATGTTTCACAACTTCCTTTTCAAAATGTTCCAAGTGCAGAAAGGACAGCAAGGAGCAGGGGCGTGGGAAAAAATTGCCGATATATCGGGATTTTCGGCTGCCCATTATAATATCGATATTTCAGTTCCTAAATCAATAAAAGAAAAAAATAATTAAGTAAAAATATTGAGGGAAAATGGGCTACCTCTGCACCGCCAATCTGGTAGATAGCGCTGTGGAGCCATTTTGCTGCGCGGCGCAGAGCCGTTTTTGTAGTTGAGGGAGTCACAGTAAGGCAAGGCAAATTTATTTGTATAGCACAATTCAGTACAAAGACAATGCAAAGTGCTTTACATGATTAAAATATAGGAAAATAAAACACAATCAAAGCAAGTAGGAAAAAAATAAATGCATAAAAAATGCAGAAACAAAAAAGAACATTAAAAACAGTTGGATTAAAGAAAATGTTTCAGTTGAACTGTTTAACTAGAACAGTCGAAGGCAATCCTTAACAAATGTGTTTTTAGTCTTGATTTAAAGGAACTCAGCTTTCCGCACTTTTACAGTTTTCTGAAAGTTTGTTCCAGATAAGTGGAGCATAGGAACTAAAGGACGTGGACTGACTTCAACCCCAAACAACACAGATACTCAAAATAATCTGATGAACATATACAGCACCTGCTTCTTTTTCATCAATACGTTTCATTTTGATAGTTGGGTAAAATAACGCAACATATGGTGATATTGCAATTTTTTTTTTTTATCGTATTGTGTCCAAAGTATCGTGGCACGTATCGTATCCCCCCCACCCATGCCAATACTCACCCCTAGCGTGGAGTGCTCCAATTCTTCCTGATTGTCGGACCTGCTTCATCCAAATTGAAAGCAGCTGAGGAGGATACTTAAATAAGCTCATATCATCCTTATGAGGGTTAAAGCAAAAAGCGGCATAGATTTATCCTAATCCATGAAAACTTCAGTCGCTGCCCATAACAAAACATGCGTTCCAGCTCTCAGTCGTTCTACCGTATACATCACTACAGTTTTCTCCCTCAGTCACTGAGTGGCATTATAGTCCTCTGTTTGTTGATTTAAACTATTTTATGAGGGAGCCTTTGAAATTATTACATTGATCATCGATGTTCGTGTTTTAATCTACAGAAAATGCTACAAAATGTCTATATTTTATCATCAGCACTTTAAAGTATATCAAGTATGTATGATGAAGCAGGGTAAGCTACATCCAGTGAGATACGTTTTACTGTGTACTACCTTAACCTTTAACTCCTCAGGAGTTAAAAGTAAAATTAAAACAAAAAAGATTAAACCTAAGACTAAACCTATCTGTCTGCTAAACTTTAACTTTAAATATGTTTGTTTTATTTTTTTCTTTTCTAGTGGTTACTTATAGCGTAGAAAAAGATTTTACTTGAGTAATAGTATCAAAAATTCATGATGATATTACTTAAGTAAAAGTAAAAAGTATGGTGCAGGGAAACTGCAAGTGCTCTATACTTTTTTTTTATTAAAGAGTTGCTCAAATAAAAGTTACTACCCACAACTGGTCCAGTTGCTTTGTCTGCTTTAGCCAAAAAAGTTTAATAAATATTTTGATAAACCTGTATATAGGTGATGTTTTGGATGACTACAATAAATAAAGTTGGTCTTTATTTGGATACATACCAACTTTGATTACATACAAGTAAAACTGCTGACAAAATGCATCAGAAATAACTAAGTGTATCCCGATGACTGTCTGTCTGTCTGCAGATTAACCCCAGTGAGGTGGAGGCTCTCCTTTCCCGGCTGCCCTGCACCTTCAGGCAGGAGCTAACTGGTGTCGGAGCGAGTCTGGAGAAACGCTGGAACTTCTGTGGCTTTGAAGGCATCAAAAGCACCTAGAATTCTGCAAGGGGCTTGGAGGAGACGACAGGCAGCACAGACTCTGTAGCAATGTGAAGGATACAGCATCTAGCTCACAACTATCAAACACTCAGAACTGAACCCTGACTGTAGAAGGGACACGGAGGACTGATCTCAGATCAAGCGGCGATGTTCCACGAGCACTTCAGGGACCGTGTAGGTGGCAGAGACTTTAGAACATCATCGCTGCTGAGACCGAGCGTCTATGATGGAGTCCTCAGAAGCTTGATCTCCACCGTTTCTGTGCATCTGCAAAATATTTTTAGACATGATGACTCCCTGGGAGTCGCAGAGGTTTCTACCGTCACTGGATCATTACGTAGTTTTGCCCACAGGAGCAGAGAGGCAGAGCGTTGAGCTTTTGGAGCCTCCACCTGACTCAGTATGGCGTCGGGTCTACAGGGCTAATCCAGGAGGAGATCAGGGCGTGTCCTCCTTCTCTTCTCTTTTTGCTGTCGCTAGTTTGTAACATAGATCAAAAACGAATATATTTCCTCATTTTCTGTAAAGGCTGTCAGCAGTTGCATAGACTCATTTGTTGTAATACACTGTAAATGCTTGGATGATATTTTTGAATATAAAAGACATTTGAATATAAAGAAAATAATGAGGTGTCTGTATTTTTGTGCGTCTGGCTAACAGGTGGAGGTTTGTGTGAGTGATGAACACTAGACAAGTAGACTCCCTCCGAGTTTGTGCTCATTCTTGCTTGAAGAGCTGCATTTTCTTTTTATTATTTATTTTTGTCATTTCCTTTATCAGGAGCTGCACTCTGAGCTGGGTTTAGAAGCTTACATAAGGGCGTGTGCGTCTTTCAGAAGCCAATTAAGCCAGTCTGTCAGCCTGGCGAAAGGCAGACATTCGCATCACACTTAAGTGGGAAGCACACCTAGGGGATTGTGTTAATGATGTTTAATTGGAGAGGCAGTTGGTGTGCATGTGCTTTCTGGCGCCAAGTGAACACTAAACTGTATTGTTTGTGTACTCTGCCTGGATCCTTATATTAAACAGTTCTACAACTCTTGCATGTAGAGAGCTGAGGACTGGAGGTTCTCCTCTTCCTGGAAAACCCAGCCAAGCATTCTTAATGTCCCGCCGCTGGGCCGTCTGCCGGCACGCTCTCTTCCCCCCACTGCTCTGGGAAACAAAGAAATATTATTATGCACAATTTGCTCTCATTTGTCCTCCTCAGTATCCTGCAGTCACTGAAAGATTACCGCCTATGCAAACTATTCCTGTTCCTGAATTAGTAAGTAAGTTTTTGAAAGGCAATTATTATTTACTAAACATGGAGGCATTTGGACAGGCTATACTGTTAGAGAAAGCTTTTGTAATTAGTGAATCTATCGTCAACTTCATTGTCTTGTGGGATTATTCATAAATTATTGATGTTTAAAGGATGAGGTGAGCTCAGTTCTCTGATGCATAACAAGATTAATCTCGGTTTAAATCTGGCTGTTCTTTGAAGGCTTCATCGTATTTCTAAGGCCTCTAACCAAAGCAGGTGCTCCTTGGTTAGCTTCGTGAAGACCAAAGAGTGCAGCAGTGAAGCAGAGGTGATACTGAGAAGTTTAAAGCAGAGCTATGTTGTATAACAAAAGCTGCAGATTTCAACATCAGCCCATGTGGGAGAATCTGTGAAAAGGACAAATATTCACGCTCCAAAGAAATCTGCCCCTTTTATCGATCAGTAGCAAAACTGCTCTTAGAAGAATAGAGAAGAGATTTACTCTGTTGTCCTACAATGGGAAATCCACATCTTAGCAGCCAAGTAAAATGCAAATGGAGGCATGCAGATACTCAGAGGGTGAAAAATATCAAAAACAAAAATAAAACAATAGGAGAATATGCATCCAGGGTAAATAAGCAGCATCAGAAAATCATGTATAGCTGTTAAATCTAGCATAATCCAAAAAGTATACAACTGAGCAGGGTCACTATAAGCATTATGTGAAACCTAAAATTATATTTAAGATGGTATTAATATTTCTGCATAAAACTACCGACTATTAACACAAATTAAAGGCGGTAAAAACAACAGGGATGAAAACATTCAGTTGGTTTGACAGCTGCTGTAATGAGGGAAGGAACTGTCACTGAATGAACTCTATGGGTCTGTAACAGCTTCATGCATGAGCTGGGAGACTTTTCCTGTTTCTGCTAGACGTTCCAGATGCTCAGGTCAGAGGAAACCATGGAGTTCATTCTATACATCTTTCTGATGGAGCATGTTCTGGGTACTCTGACTTCCTCCTATAGTCCCTGTTTATGAAGGAATGAGTTGATGTCTCTGTGTCGTTCCTTGATGGAGACGCCTGACCAGGTTTCTCCTGCCTCGACTGTTGGAGATGGGAACAAGCTAAACCAGGCAGATCACCTTTACAATTTCAATCCGGGAAATCCCACTGAGATGCTTTAAAGTTTGTGATTATGTGTTTTTATGAGCCATGTTAAAGCTGTTTGTGGTTCCAATGATGTTACTGCAGGAAGTGGAGGTTTCTGTCCAGAGTTTTCCTGTTTCTATCTGCTTGACAGAGTACTTGGGATTGTGTGAGATGTTTCCTGTGCATCGCTACGTTGCCTCTCCACGCCGTATGAGTCGAGCTCTGCAGAACATCCCTGATGACCAACTCCAGCAAACCTCTCCCCGACCTCTTCTCTCTCCAAAGGGCTTTACCTTTCTGCTCTCGCTGACGAACAAAGCACCTTTACAGCGTTTGTTTTTCAAAAGCTGGGTTTTTTTTGTATAGTTTCCTCCCAACTGAGCTGCAGTTCCCACGCGCTGATAGGCTGGAGGCGTTTACAATTTATCTCCTTTACCGCTGTCTATGACGGGAGCATGAAGACACAAACATGCTTGTGATTGGGCTTTAGGTTCTCCTGGATCACACAAGGACGTAAACAAAGACTAATTAAATCCTCAGATGGTCCCCAGTGAGCACCCCTCTCCATTTGCTGTTGCCTCCTTATTACTGTGACAGTGAGGAGCCTTCTAGTTAATTCACTTCAAGGGGTATGTAAGCAAAAGGGGGCAGATCATCTCCCTGCAATGAAGATGCCGAAGGACTGTTTTCCTACTATAGGTGGTATAAGGGGCATAAACTGATGTCCTTAGACATCTGCTGAATTTAAGCTGGAAAAATTCTCAAAATACTTGATTATCTGTTATTAGAGCAAAATTTCAAATGTCGCATTTTCTGATTTTATGAATATAAACTTGAATTTATTTATTGAACTTTGAGGTGATGATTGTGAAATGATGCGTTTTGGCTTCTTATTTTTTTCTTTGAGAAAATAACAGTTTTTAATCTCCCATCTATTCTGACCGGGTTTGCTCCCCCTGCTAAACAGTATTTCCACATGGCCTGATGCAGCCTATTGTTCAGGATGATGTTGAATTGTAGCTGTACACATGTAGAACCTGATCTACTAAAGGTTTGTATGATTATAATGATTGCAAACTTTACAGAGAGCACAAAGCTGATTTCCTCACCTGCTACAGCTAGAACTAAACATTAGCAAAACAGGAGGCGTGGCCCATTCAGCTGTTTGTCATAGTGAGTAAATGCAGAACATATGCTGATCAAAAGAAGGTGCAGGATAGTGGGAGGAGGATATGCACCTACAATCAACAGTGTCATTTATCACACCTGAAACAGACAGAAGGTGCAGGTTCTGCTTTTTGCACTTTTGAAAGTGAGGCGCGAATAATTGGTATAAAGACAAGAGATTTAAATTTCTCATATTTCAATTGATAGAAATGAAAAAAGTTTAAACATATCAGGGCTATTTTAAGGTGAAACTCTTTGCAACACAACATTTATTTGTGGCAGTGGCATTTTCCACCAGTTTTCCTGGATGGCAGCACCAGATTAATTTTATGCGATTAGGTGGAATGGGACATGTTTAATCAGAATCAGCAGTCCAGGTGGACCAGTAGTTTGCAACAAGTCGGTCTATTGAAAAAAAAAAATTATAATAAAGAAATAAAACCTGAGAAGAGAATTCCTAAAATAAGACACCGAAATAGATTAATGCAAAAACCTTAACTACCCAGAATTTAGCAATGAAAAAAAACCTCACAAAACCCAACCATAAGATACACACCAAACCAAATGGGGTTCTGTGGAGGGAGAGGAAAAAGCCTGCAACTTTTTTAAGCAGAAGAGCACCAATCAGGGCAAAAAACATAACACCTGCAGAGGGCCTGTCTCCAGAACCCTAAAAGGAAAAAAGGCAGACACACACTGCAGCCGTAGCACTTGTCTTTAGTGGTTATGCAGTTTTTGAAGCCCTTTTTAGGAGGATGTCAAGAAAACCGACCATTTTAAGAAACTAAACACAAATGCTGTCTTTAAAAAAGAAACAGAACACCATGAACAGAGAAGGTCCTTCCTCTCTTCCTCTTTCTGCACCTTCTCCACATATAGTGATGATACCTCTGCAGTAGTCTTTGGGACGTTCAGAATAAATCCACTCTGCTCCCCCAAAGAGTGCAAAGTGACAGGCAGTTACACACACTAAATCTGCCTTTAAATAGGGTGATGAACACTACTTTGCCACTTTCAGTTAATTGTGCACTCAGGGCCCGATCTTCAAAGAATCCAAATAAGGAACACTAAACTGTGTTTACATAAGAAAAATGGTGCAATTAGAGTGGCTGCAAGTGATCTACAAAAAAAAAAATGCTCAAAAAGTGTAAGATGTGCAAACATGTTTGCTCCACCCCTTTTAAATGGGCAAACAGTGTGCTACTGTAATGGCAGGTTGAGAGAGGTCATTTAACAAAGATTAATTTACAAGCCATGGAGATGGAGGTAATAGTGATAAGTCGAAAAGCACTTCTTAATGACATTTTAATGAATTGATCCTTGGCATGAGGTGCACCGTTGGTAACAATTTCATTAAAATTAGTAATCCTGCAATTACTAAAATTAAAGTAATCCTGCTAACTATCAAACCAACAAAGCCACTGGAAACATAACCTTTTTGGAGGAG